TTGAGAGAGAGAGAGAGAGAGAGAGAGAGAGAGAGAGAGAGAGAGAGAGAGAGAGATGGGGGATCGGGAAGGGGGAGGGGGAGGGTGAAGTCGACGGGGAGGGGCGAAGTGTAAAAGCGCGCCATACATGCTCCTTTTTGTCGGTTCTCTTTTTTTTCCTTTTTCTTTGTGCACGTGTTTGTGTGTTTGAGAGAGACGGAGAGAGAGAGAGTGGGGAAGTGTGAAAGGGCGAGGGTATGGAGAAGTTGTGGCGAGGGTATGGAGAAGTTGTTGGGGGAGCAAGTGGTAAAGATGTGGTACATTTGTTGATCTGTTTTTTTTACCCCTTTGTTTTCCCGTTTTCTGAGTGTGGTTGTGTGTGTGTTTGTGTGCTTGTGTGTGTGTGTGTGTGTGCGTATATGTGTGTGCGTGTGTATGTGTGTGTGTGTATGTGTGTGCATATGTGTATGTGTGTGTGTGTGTGTGTGTGTGTGTGTGTGGGTGAGAGAGAGAGAGAGAGAGAGAGAGAGAGAGAGAGATTGCATCGATCAGTTGCCTACACCATGGATGAATCAGCTGTCATGTTTGTTTTTTGCTAGCGAAGCTACAACAGGTCATCTAGTTGTTTTTACGGTCCATAGGTTTAGTTGATTCTATAATATTGCGGCAACCGATTTCTGGAACCGAGCGTTGTAACCGATTGCTGTAACTGGTTGCTGTAACCGGTTCCTGTAACCAGTTGCAGCAACCAGTTGCTTTAACCGGTTGCTGTAACCAGTTTCTGCATCGATTGCTGTAGCCACTTATTGTAACTGGTTGCAACAGCCATTTGGTGTTAGCAGTTGCAGGAAATGAGACATTTTTATGTTGCAGGCTGATGACTCCCGAATTTTCACCTCAAGTCCTCTCCTCCAGGAATCCTCTCTCTCTCTCTCTGAGCAGTCTTCTCTCTCTCAGCAATCTTATTGTCAACTCTCAAATGAATTCTGTCAAGTTGGAGAGTGGAGCAGCATGTCACTAACACTCGAAGAAATAATTGAAATTGGGTGCCACTAACCGGTCGTTGCAATCGGTTGCAACAACTGGTTGCTGTAACCGGTCGCAATATTTGGATGCTGTAACTGGTTGCTGTAACCAGTTGCTGCACACGGGGTTGCCACAACTGGTCACAGCAACCAGTTGCTGCACCCAGTAGCAGCAACCAGTTGCTCTAACTGGTTGCATCATCCTGTTCGTCCAATTGCTTGTTCTGAGGTAATGGTGTTAATATGTGTGTGGCAGAGGAGTTTAATATGGTGTGTGTTCATATCTGGGGCGGAGAGAGAGAGAAAGGAGAAAGAGAGAGAGAGTTAATGAATTTTGTTTGTTTATAAGAAAGCAGTGGGAGGTTGTGCTGTATGTATGTATGTGAAGAAGGACCTGAAAATAGGGGGTCCCGGTGAACCATTAATGTGAAGAGAGGAAAAAAAACGAGAGAGGGAGGGGGCAGAGCGGGTGGGGGAGTGAAACACTCCGTCATTCCTGGCTCTCCTCCTCTTCCCCCTCCTTCCTTGACATTGTGTTGTCTTAGGATTCCAATATCATCATCATCCTCGATCATAGTGGACGTTGTCATTGGGTCGCACACGCCGCCATGGTGGAGGAGGTTGATATCTTCAAAATTTTCAGGTATTTTAAATATATATTTTTTAAATTTTTATGATCGTCATTGTGGCTCCTCTTTTCTTCCTTCTCCTCCTTTTCGCTCCCTCTTCTTTTTTCTTTAATGAGGGTCGTTTTTCCCCCTCTTCCCCTCGTGGCTCCTTTTTTCTCCCTTCTTCTCTTTTCACAGTCCTGCTTCCCTGCACTGTGTAGTTTGAAACATTTTAGCCATATACAACCACTGCTTTTGGGTTTTCAGTTTCCTTTTCTAAGCATCTTAATGCCGAGCTATTGCATCGAGGGTTATACGACAAAACAAAATTAATGTTATGGATGAACGGAGTACAAACAGTTATAGCATAATGGGGTTATGGGAGGAAGCCGCCGGTCAGGAGGAAACGCTTGTGTAGGTAGGATGGTGTGTGGGAATGATGGGGGACATGGTACGGAAGAGATGGCTCGGGAGATGGCATGGGAGATGGCATGAGAGATGGCATGGGAGATGTACGGGAAATGACATGGGAGATGACAAGGTAGTCAACCAAACGAAAATGACTAAAACTAGAAACTTTGCTTTGTATTTTTATTTTTGTATTTGCAGGTATGAAGCAAATGCAGGTTTCTCAACAACAGTTCACAATGACCGAGAAGATCTTACAAGGTTTTTGACAGTAGAGGAGCAGGGAAAAGACATTTTGAGGCACAAACACACAGACCGTAACATTTTGAACCAACAAAGATTTGAGGAGGCATATTTGCGCAGGAGGGTGTCAATCTTTCTTCAAGATCACTGTGTACACTTGATAGATCACATAAACTTTGATGTTGAGAATGTTGACAAGATACTCTCAGAGGTAATTTGTAATTAGAAAACACTCCTGTTCTGCTCCTCCGCCCGCGCTCCTCCGCCCTTCCCCTGCTCTCTTTCCCGCCCTCCCTCGCTGTCCCCCACGCCTGTGCTCCTCGACCCTTCGCCCGCTGTCTTCCCTTCCCTTCCCCGCTCTCTTTCCCACCCTTACCCGCTGCTCGTCCGCCTCTGCTCCTCCGCCCTTCCCCCGCGCTCTATCCCCCCCTCCCCGCTGCTCCTCTGCCGCGTTGCCCCCCTCTGCCCCTAGAAAAAAAAAAAAAAAAAAAACACTTATTTCCTCTGCTCCTCCACCTTCCCCCGCCCCTCCAATTGCGCTCCTCTGCCCTTCGCCTGCTCTCTTTCCCGCCCTTCCCCGGCCCCCTCCGCTGCTCCCCGTTGCTCTTCCCCCGCTCTTTTTCCCACCCTTTCCCACTGCTCCTCCACCTGCGCTCCTCCGCC